CCTAGCCAACACTCCCTTAAAGATGATGATGTTACTAGAGTACTTGGTCCTGAACGTCGAGGATGGGTAAGAGGTCTTGGTTTTGGTGCGACTCCTTCAAAGTTGAGTGCTTTGATGCACAATCATAACTTGCAAACTCAAGTCCAAGAATTGAGAAATGAAATTAAAGAATTAAAATCTTTGTTTCAAATTAAGAGTAAGAGTGTTGAACAAGAAGATAATGTAAGTGAAAAATAAAATTATTGAACGTTATTCTAAATTACATATGATTTCTATATTCAAAATAATAAATTGTACAATTGGATATGAATTTTACAGCCTAGAGATGGAAGCTTGAATGTTTCAAATAACCTTCAAAATAGGAAATGCAAATTGTTATCTTGGTTTGGGAAAGCCGATGGTGTTGCAAAAGGGGAAATCGCATCAACAAATCCAAGTGATTTGGTGCATCATGTACCACTTGGTAATGAATGTTGGAGAGTTTGGGTTAATGAAGTGATTGAAAATGTCAGCTTATATCGTCCTACACGTGAGCTTTTTCTTCTTGAAGATGCATTAGGAAGTACAATAGCATGGCCAATTAGATACATTGAAGTGGATTCGCTATAATCACAATGAAGGTATGCTTAACTTCTTTTCTATTTTAATTTCACGATTCATTAGGCAAATATATTACAATTCAAGTCCTCCTAGCATTCTTGCTTCTGTGGGTCTAACACTTTTAACTGGCCATTGATGACCATTGAGTGGAACGTGATCACTGACATTTGATGAAATTTCAGGTATAGGCAGATTACAAATGAGCATTGCTGAAGTCTCACCCAGATCGAGCTTCGCACTCATGTGATTGGAAAGCATTCTTTTGTTTGTAAAATAACTTATCAGTGTTGGTTGAACTTATGTCTGTTGGTTGAGAAGAAATTAGTTATGACTCAGGCTTGTCATTTGTTGAACTTATGTCTATTGGTTGAGAAAATGAAAAGTAGCTGTTACATTTTATTTATATATGATAAATGTTAGTGTTAATTTTTTCATTTTTAAGCTTAGAATAACTAATTAGTTTAATGTAGTTTATCATGCTAGCTTGTACTCAAAGAGTTGGAATTGGATTTGTGTAATTATT